TGCCGGGAGAGCCCTGTCAATCGACGCGGCTGGGCAAGGATCACACGTCCTGGGCAAGGTGTCCCTTCCACAGGTGGAACACTGTGCATAGTGTTTCCATGCACAAAACAGTTATCAGTGGCGTACGTGCACTGAGCCCCCTGGCTAACGTCCCAGCCCAGTAGTTGTGTACGTGCATTGTTCTCTCTGGTTATTGTCTCAGCCCGGCACAGATGGCCAGTCCATCCCGTGCTACGACGCTCCAAGAGCTTGAACTGTTACAACTTGCAACTCCCTCCATGGGAGAAAGGCCAGTTCCCGGGAAAAGGCCAGTTCCCACCACACAGAAAGCAGCTTTGTATTTCTTTGTGTGCTGGCGTCTATAGGTCAATGAAGCGGCCAAACATGGCTGTACTCATGTCAGGACATTTCCCTTCCAGTTGTCTCCTCCACCCCTGTGTCCTCCTCATGCGAAGTTTCTGCACAGCTGTGCCCCGTGGGACCCCACTGCTGGGGAAGGGTCCCAGCCTCCCCTTCTGACATGAGATGTGTCTCTCTCCTCCCCACCCCATCATCATGAATGTGGCCCTGAGGGACCTGGGAGGTTTCTGGGCCTGGAGGGGTCTGCCATCAGGGGCGTCCACTTGATCCTGTTACGTTGGTCTTGAGGCCTGAGACCTGTGGAGACCCCTCGAGGCTCACTGTCAGCTTCCCTGGGCTTGCAGGCATCAGATGCCTTCCCTTCTCACCTGCACAGCACCCTCCTACTGGAGCTCTTTCAGACGCCCAGAATCCCCTCCCCTGGGGCACCCCGACACACAAACACACTCACCAAGCAACAGCATCTCTGCCGCATTCCTTCTGCAGCCTCCTCCCTGACCCCCTGGCCTCCACCAGGCCCCAGACCCTCCCTCACAGCAGGATCTTGTCCCAAAGACCCTTTCCCAGGGCCCCCCAGCTGGACCTGTTGATGGTGAGACCCTCCCCACAGCAGTAGGATCTTGTCCTGGGCAAGACTGCAAGTTCCTCCTCTGCTCACAGCCTGCCTGCCAGGCTCACTTCCCTGGAGGAAAAGCCTCAGCCCTGTTTGTTGATCTTCTTAGGGGGCTGAGACCCTCCCACTTCCTTTACCTGGGGAGGAAAGAAGAGGAGGAGGGCCTTAGTCTGAGGGGAGAGCTGGAGGGGTAGGGAGACTCGAGTTCCACAACTCAGCTTGTGGGGAAGGGGCTTCTGAGCTCTACACACAGCAGACCCCACCCTGTTGTGGGACAGGGTCTCTCCTCAGCAGGGGCAGCCACAGCTGGGCAGACACAGGGCAGGGATTCAGACCGGCCTGTCCGTGGGTGGGGGGCACAGAGACCCTGAACACCCAGGACCAGACTGACTTCAGCCCTTACCCCTCCTCAGCCAGAGGGAATCTGGGACCCTTGCGGCACATATTTGGGGTCCTGGGAAAATCTGACGGCGAGTTTGGGTCCTTGGGAGGCTCTGGGGCTCACCGTAGACACAGAGTAAGGTGGGCTGGGCCCTAGGCTACAAGATGGCAAATGAAAGGGGAGATTGGAAACCACAGGCTTTCAAATTGCCAACCCAGACTGTGACTGACCAGTGCTCCAAGGGCCTCGAGGGTGGGTTTGGAAGACTTTAACTGTTTTTATGTTAAGGAGACACAACCAGCTGCCACCCTGAAGCTAATCAAGCCTCCCTACAAGAGCTCCGCCCATGACCTTGCCTTAATTTTCATAGGAAGATCTCTTCAGGAGGAGATTAAGCCTCATTAGGGTGACCTGCAGTGTCTGCAGAAGCACTTTTCCAACTGAGCCTGTGCAAGCGAATACCCGCCTCTCCCTTTTGAATATTTTTTCCCCCACCAGAATAAAAGTTCCTGCTTCCTTTGGAAATGATTCCTCGTGGCCTTCTATTTGCTGCAAATACACTTTACTTTGTGAGACGACTTCCACTGGTGTAGGGTCTTATTTAACTCACCAGGAAGCAAGCCCACTTGGTTTGGTATCAGGACCTCTGGACAGGAATGGGGTTAGTGTCCCCCGGGGACCCCAGACCACTGAGCCACCTGCTGCTCCTGTTGCTGCTACTGGAGGAACCCCAGGGGTCCTGCACTGGTGAGAGCTTGGGCGGCCATGGGGGAATGGGGGAGTCTGAGTGCGGATGGGGGACCAGGCTTTGTGTGGGGCTGGTGGGAGGAGAGGGTACATTAGGACTTGTAGAGGGCGCGCTTGCAGGGGGCTCTACCAAAGGGGACAGGAGCGTTTGGGGGGAGCAGTGCCAGGGAGAGGGGGATGTGGGGAGGGTCTGGCGGGTCCGCAGGGTGGTGGTGTGGGCGCCATGTGTCCTGGGATGGAGGGTCCGCGGGGGCAAGTGAGTTTCTGGGGGCTTGGGAGGCGCGGGCAAGGAGGACGATAAATGTTCGCTGAAGACACGTGGAGAGGGGGGTGGTGAGTGTCCGGGGTACTCCATGGGGGGCGATGTCTGGATGGGGTGTCCCCAGGGAGCCAGATGAGTACCTCGGGCCCGTGGTGGGGTACGGTGAGGGTCTCTGGGGAAGGCAGGGAGGCAGGTGAGGGTCTGGAGGAGGCAGTGTGGGGGCGGGAAGTGTGGGAGGGGGGCTGTGATGAAACTAGCAGTGAGTGAGGGAAGTAGCAAGGAGCATTTAGGCGGCCACAGAGGGGGATGGCGAGTGTGTGTGTGTGTGTGTCTGTGTGTGTCTGCGTGTGGTCCATGTGAAGAGGGAAGGTGATCAGCAGGGAAGCTGGTATTTTGGAGCCATGATGGGGGTGGTGAGTATCTGAGGTCCACACAAAGGGGCAGGAGGCTGATGGGCTGCAGTATGGGGGTGGTAAAGGTCTGGGGACGTGAACCAGGAGGGAGGCAGGTGAGGGTCTTGGGGGGCACCAGATTTGTGCTGGCCTTATGAAACGTATCCGGGGTGCTCTCTCATGTTCCATCTTCCGCTACAGTTTGTATAAGATTATTGTTTTAATCTTAAACGTTTGTTAGAATTAACCAATGAAGCCGTCTGGGCCTGGAGTTTTCTTGCTGGGAAATATTTAATCATGGCCTTAATTTCTTAATATTTAAGGGACTATTGACTTGTTCTTCTTATATCAGCTTTGATAAGTTGACTCTTTTTTTGAGAAATTTGTCCATTGTTATTGTATGTAATTTTCTATCACTGATTTCTCCTTTTATCTTTATTGTATCTTTTGACATTTGTTATGTATTTTATGTTTTTTTCTAATGTCTTGAGATTGAAGCTGAGAGGGTTCACTATTTAGTTTCTTTTTTTCTAACATCTGCATTTAAGGCTGTTACTTGCTCTCCAGTCACTACTTTAGCTTCACTCCCGAGGTGCGATATGGATTGTTTTCATTCTCATTCACTTACAATGATTTTGTAATTTCCCTTACAATTTCTTCTTTGATCCATGGACTATATCAAGTGTGCTGTTTAATTTCCAAGCAATTGGGGGTTTTCTAAGTATCTTTTTTGTGTGTGTGTGAGGAAGATCAGCCCTGAGCTAACATCCGTGCTAATCCTCCTCTTTTTGCTGAGGAAGACTGGCTCTGAGCTAACATCTATTGCCAATCCTCTTCCTTTTTTCTTTTTTCCCCAAAGCCCCAGTAGATAGTTGCATGTCATAGTTGCACATCCTTCTGGTTGCTGTATGTGGGACACGGCCTCAGCATGGCCGGAAAAGCGGTGCCCGCCCGGGATCCGAACCCAGGCTGCCAGTATCAGAGCGCGCGCACTTAAATGCTAAGCCATGGGGCCGGCCCTAAATATCTTTTTTTTAAAATTGATTTCTAGCTTATTACCACAGTGGTCAGACAACATATTCTGAATGGTTTCAATCCTCTGACACTTGTTGAACCACTCTTCATGTCTCTGTGTGTGGCTGATTGTGGCAAACGTTCCGTGTGCACATAGAACATTCCATATGCATTAACTATGTCAAGTTAATTCTGTGGCTCAGACTGGGTACCTTGCAGATTTTATGTCTGCTTGTACTCTGGTTATTGTGAGACAGGTGTTAATATCCCTTGAAGTGTTTTGGATCTCTCTCTCCTTTTAGTTTTGCTAATTTTGCTTTAGGTATTCTAATTTTATTTATTTATTTTTTTCCCCAAAAGCCCCAGTAGATAGTTGTACGTCATAGCTGCACGTCCTTCTAGTTGCTGTATGTGGGACTCGGCCTCAGCATGGCTGGAGAAGCAGTGTATCGGTGCGCGCCCGGGATCCAAACCCGGGCCGCCAGCAGCAGAGCGCACTCACCTAACCGCTAAGCCAGGGGGCCGGCCCGCTTTATGTATTCTAAAGCTTTGTAATTGGAAACATGCAGATTTATGATGGTGAAATCTCCCATTGCATGGGCCTCTCTTTACTCTAACAGTCCTTTTTCTTAAATCCTGCTCTGATGTTAGTAGAGCGATGCCAGCCTTCTTCTGGGTAGAGCTTACATTTATATCATTTTTCCATCCTTTCCATTTTAGTCTTCTGATGTCTTTGTGTGACTCTTATAAGCAACATAAGTTGATTTTGTGATTTTTTCTTTTAAGCGTATCTGGTAACTTTATTCTTTTACATGGAGTTTTTAGTCCACTCACGTTAATGTAATTACTGTTATGTTTGGGTTTATATCTACCATCTCGCTCTATACCTTCTCTTCAGCCAATCTATTTGTTCCTTTTTATCTCCTTTTCTTTCCTTCTTTTGGATATCTAGCTTTCTCAATACTCCATTTTTTTCCTCTATTAATTTGTTAATTGTCCATCTCTTACTCTTCTCACAGTGGTCATTTTAGAGATTATAATATGTATTAGTATTGTAGCCAAGTACTAATTATGACTTTTAACAATTCCCAGATATTGCTAGACCTCAAACTCCATTAAACTCCAGCCCCCCGAACTCTCACATTATTGTTGTCATAAACTTTAGTTGTACATAAACTTTTAATTCCATAGAACATGAAAATGATGGTTCTGTTCCTTCAGTATTCCTCAGATCTACTCACACAGTTGGTCTTTGGGCTTCCTGCCTGCGTTTGCTTCTTTCATTCTGGGATAACATCTCCTCTGCCTGAAGAGCTCCCATTGGCTTTTCCTTTAGTGCAGACCTGATAGCAGTGACTGTGAACATTTTTTTTTCTTAAACCATCTTTATTTTGACTTCCTTCCAGTATAGTATTTTTTCCTGGCTATAGATTTTTAAGTTGGTGACGATTTTATTTCATCACTTGGAAGATGTCATTTCATTGTGTTCTGCTTTCCATCATTTCTGTTGAGAAGTCAGCTCTGACGGTCTTATAAAATGCTCCTTAAAAGTAATATGTCTTATTTTCTCTGGGTGTTTTTATTTGCATTGTTTCTCTCTGTCTCAACTGTTCAATATTTTGGCCATGATGTTCTCAGGTGGCTTTGTTTCTGTTTATCCTGCTTAAAGCTGAGAGCTTCCTGAACCTGGCGTTGATGTCTTTCATCTGTTCTGAACAATTCTTGGGTCTTATCTCTTTGAATAATGCCAGGGTTGCATTTTCTCTCTTCTCTCCTGAAACTCCAATTACACAGATGACAGGGTCACACATGTCACTTATGCTTAGCTTTCTTTTTTTCTCCATTCATATTTCTCTAAGCTTCTGTTTTTCTTTTGCCATTTTCCCATCCTCCAGCTCACTAATTCTGTTTTTCTCTGTCTAATGTGCTGCAGATCCCATCCAGTGAGTTCAAAATTTAAGACATTGTGTATTTCCTTGCTAGAATTCCCATTTTATTTTTATACATTTCCTTTCTCTGGTAAAATCCTCTTTCCTTTCAAATATTTTGCCCACTTTCCTCTATTTTCTTTTTGTTAATATTAAATTTTTTTTCTGCTTATATCAACATTGGGATCGTTTGTAGGTCGGCTCCAATTATCTGGGATCTTCTCCATTTCTTGATTACCAGTCTTGGATTCCTGCCTCTTTGGAGGTCAAGAAATTCACGTTGAATCCTGGACGTTACCTACATCACACCTGTCATAACTTCAGTTGATGTTATTTTCTGCCCAGGAAAGGTTGATTCTTTTGCTCGGTTCAGCAGACTATACGAGGGCCTCTTCGCCTCAATTCAATCAGGATGGACCTGGGTCAGCACAGGGTCACAGTTGTAGTAGGATTCCGTAATCGGCACTGTGACCTTCAGAGCTTTCAGCTGGCAGTTCCTCTCTTCTCAGTCCTGAAAGAACGTGGGAGATTTCCGTTCTGCTTTTCGGAGGTTCCCAGTCTCCCGCCCTGTGCAGCTGTGATCTGAGTCATTTCTGCTTCTCTCTCTGCCCAAATATACTCCTGCTTTCTCTTCCACGTCTTAACGCCTCTCTAATCTCTTTCCACTCTAATATTTTTGCCTGACCCTCTCTTCCGCAGGTCCTGTCCATAACAAAACACTCTGCTTGGTTCCTTGCACTCCCCTCTGGGATGGATCAGAACAGAGTAGCCTGATTTAAATGACTCAAGACAGAGGCAGCTGTTAGAAACCTTGAACTTGGCCAGCGAATCGCCCACGTGTCCTCCTCCCTCAGGAACCCACACTCTCCGCTACGACCTCATGGCCCTGTCCCTGGACAGGCCTGGGAAACCCCAGTTCCTGGCCCTGGGATACTTTGATGATGAGCTCTTCTTGCGCTATGATGGCGAGAGTCAGAGGGCAAAGCCCTGGGGTCTAGGGATCAAGATGGACCTGGGAGCTGAGACCTGGGAGAGAGACCAAGGACCTGAAGGAGAAGGAGCGACAACTCAGACAGTTGCTGACAGAGATCACGGGCCAGCAGGGCCAGGGCTCAGGTGAGTGGGGGCAGAGCCAGGGGCACGTGTCTCTGAGTCTGGTCCCTGCCCTGTTTATCCTGCAGCTGGCGGAGGGGAGGGCACAGCAAGGCTGGAATTGCACAGAGAGGTGAGGCCCCCCTGAGACTGCACCAGGTTCCTCACATTTGGGTGGATGAGGCGACATACCCCTCTGAGCTGGAGTCCTGTTGGGTGGAGAGGTTCTGGGACAGTGAGGTGACAGGTCACTGCCTGGGGTGGGCCAGGCCTTCACTCCCTCCAGGCCACACTGGGCTGTGAGCTCCAGGGAGACAGCACTAGAGGCTTCTGGCGCTTGGGCTACAACAGGCAGGACTTCCTCACCTTCCACTCACAGACCCTCACTTGGACGTTGGCCACGCCCTCAGCCCAGCACATCAAGAAGCTCTGGGAGACCCAAGGCCCCAGGGCTGATCTGGTTAAGGATTTCCTGCGTGTGACTTGTCCTGCCCAACTCTGGAGATACCTGGCCTCCTGGAGGGGCCTCCTGGAGAATACAGGTACTGACCCTGGGTGAAAAGGTCCACCCACGGGGTCTGCCCCTGGTTCCCACAAGGAAGAGAACTTCCCTGCTGTTCTCTGAGTGGCTGTCCTGCCCTGGCCTTAGGTTAGGTGCTGAGTTCTGACTGAATTGTGGGAGAGGCACACCCATGTTGGTGGGTGAGGGGTCTCCTCTGGACCCATTACTGGTCAATCAGCTGGAGAAGTGGAGAGTCCCAGGATGTGGGCCCAGATCTCAGGCCTCAGGCCCCAGGCAGGCAGGAGAAGGAAACCTTTTCTCTCCAAGACCCTCATTCTCTGGGATGTTGACTTTGAGTGGGGGTGACATCTAGGTTTGAACTCCTTGTAGAGACCCTAATGTGGGGCCAACTTGGCCGGGAGCCAAGGTAGAACAGAATATTCCAGCTCTGGAGTAAGGGTCACATATTCAAATGCAACGTACCCCGAATCATATTCCCAGGGTCATCCTACTTTTGTTCTGCTTTCACTTTTAGAAAAATCCAATTTCAAGTTTCCCCCTTGTGTAAGTCCTGTGCGAGAGAATAAAAAGAATGAGTAGATACTGGTGTGTGTAGGGGTGGGCGGCGGATGAAAAAACCTATAATCAACCAGAGGTCCCCAGAGGAATGTAAGTCCCAGGACAAAAGAATCGGGCTGTAGGGCCAGCTGGCCATCCTTGTGGACAGTCCCTCAATCGCCCCCTGGAGCATGTGGAACCGATTCTGTTGGGAAGGAAGGAGGTACATCACCGAGGCCAGATGCTCACTCCATGTAGAGCAGAGCAGCCCCTCTGTCCCATCAGTGCCTACAAATTCTTCAGAACTTTGTGCTGAGCATCCTCAGGTGGATGCGATGGCCCCTGAGAGCAGAGAGTTCATCTGCTCTCAGGCTCTCCAGGTGGGCGAGGGCCGGACCCCCTCCAAGGGTCCTGGGGCTGTTGGAGCAGCATGGGGGCCTCCCACAGTCCACTTTCCACTGGGCTGTAGCCCCCGTGGAGGGTTGGCTGGGGGCGAATGTGCACGGGTCATTTCTAAGGGCTGGCTGGTTCCTGCTCTTGGTTTCCCTGCAGTGTAAGGAGGGAGCGTCTTGGCCTCAGTGAACTCTGCTCTGTCTCCCCCCAGGTCCCCCGTCAGTGACTGTGACCCGCAGTAAGGACCTCGTTGGCAAGGTCCTCCTGAGGTGCTGGGCTTTTAGCTTCTATCCTCGGGGTACCACCCTGACCTGGCTTCAAGATGGGGAGCCCATGCACCAGGTCACCCTTGGGCCTGGGGTCAGCCTGCTCAGTGGGGACGGGACCTACCAGACCTGGGTGGACACTCGGATCCTGCCAGGAGAGGAGCAGAGGTTCGTCTGCCACGTGGGACACTGCGGGCTGAACACCATGGTCCCTGCAGTCTCTGGTGAGAAACTGGGGGAGCCCTTGGGGTCCAGGGAGCTGGAGGCAGAGTTGGTTTGGGATCCTTGTATGAAAAAGGGCCCACTGCGTGTAATTGAACCCCATTTCATGGTGACCTCCAGGAACTCAAGGTCAGAGGGCTTCCTGTGCGGCTGCTCCTGCTGCGGCTCCTCTCGCTGTGTCCACTGTCCCTGCTGTGCTGTGTTTGGTGGTGGTGGAAGCCTAGACGAGGAAGCACACAGAGGATGTGAGAGCCCAGGGGAGAAGCACATGGGACAGAGAGGAGGACGGATCTGATTCTTCTCTGGGTGGTGAGTGGAGACAGCTCTCTTCTGTTAAAAACAAGGCAGCAGTCCCCAACAGAGTCCCTTATGCTAAGTCCCACGTCGTCACCAAAGCAAGACTTCATTCAGTGACAGTTTCAGCTCTCCCAGAAATAGAATCCTAAACCCCTCATCCAGGAATCTGCTCAGCAGTAGTCAGGTCATCTGTCTGATGGGCCCCTGCCATCCCCTAAAGGAAGGTGACCTTGCAATAACCAAGCTGCCTTTTTGCCTAACTTAACTTCCCTGTTCCTGCTCCCTTCTCCTAAAATCCCTTGCCTTGGACAGCTCTTCGGAGCTCCTTTCTGTCTGCTAGACTGGATGCTGCCCGGTTCATGATTTGTGAATGAAGCCAGTAAGATCTTTGATACTTACTCAGTTTGATTTTGTTTTTTAACATGTCTTCCCTCCAGGAGCAGGAGAAGAATAGACAAGCCCTCTTCCTGCTTACAGGATGAGGGGACCAGGTGTGTTTTACGACAACTGGCTTAAAAAAAAAAAAAAGATAAAGACTCAACCATTGGTGTTGCCTTTCAAATTCGCATAAGCCCTGGACCCCAGGATATTCACTTAGTTGAGAAAGAGAGATGTTTTTTTGTATAGAAGTAGTCCAAATAAGAAAGATAGAAAAGCAAAGATAGAATTACATTATTACCACTTGGTGAGCCTAATGAATGAATGGATCTCAGCAGTCACCATCAAGGGCTGCCGCATGGCCACTGGGGAGACAGCTGGATGTAGTGCGCCTCCTGGTGGAAGTACAGAGTACTACCCCTGATGTCCCTCCAACATCAATTTACTGTAAAGAGAAGGCAATTGACTGGGAACAGAGAATCATGTTTAACCACATGGTGGACAGGTCTTCCGCAAAGGCACAGTCTTTGTGGAAAACTACAGGAGAAACCACCTTGTTCCTTCACCAAATAAACTGTCAGGAAACACACAAACAAAAAAGATGGAGAGGGAATCGATATGAAGCTGGGTACCTGCGGGTTACTGTAAATATTCCATATGATTAGCTTTCCACCTTGTTATGACAAGAAGTGAATCTTGTCAGTTTGCTGTTTTCTTGTTTAACCTGAGGGGTGACTCAAGAGTCACAAGTATTTATGAGCTTGTTTTGCAGAAGAAGGAGAATGCCTTCAAGAAAGTTACCATCACCAGATAATCAGCTGCCCTTGATGTCCAGAAGTCGGATTTCCCAGGGGTTCATTGGGAGTGACCCCTTTGTTTCTCTGAAACTCCTCCTGCCAAGCCCCTTAGCTCCATAAAACCCCCTGCTGCTTTCTTCTCTCGTTAAGGTAGATTTGAGAGACCCCTTCCACTCACCTTCTTGTTTTGGCCAATTCAAGCAAAGCTTTCTACATCTCCAAGCACTGATGTGATTGGCTTATTGCACATCACGCACATAAACTTGAAATTAAAAGGTTCAGTATCAATTTTGGCGAGACAGCTCAGAGTCTTGTGCCCGTGGATGGCTGGCCCCAGTGAGAGTTCGAGCGATCAGTGGTCCCCTGCAGCTGCCCGGGCTTCTTTGCCCAGGGCCCTTCTCCAGCTGCTCCCTCCTTCCCGCTGGTGTCGGGCACGCTCAGTGAAATGCTTTCTTGGAGTGGAGAAATGCATTGGACTTGGGTCTACTTTTGGTTTTGCATTTGTCCGGAGTCAGATTTTACTTTTGTGTTGGTGCATTTGTCTTGTGTGTAAGTCAGCTATGGGGAACACTAAATTGATCCCCACTTCTAGCCCCCTGGGTTACGTTCTCCAAATTTGGGTAACTTTTAGCTACAAGGCCATGAAAAAGGAAGAAGATGATATTCTTTTATTTTATTTTATTTTATTTTGTCTATTGCAGTAACATTGGTTTATAACATTGTATAAATTTCAGGTGTACATCATTATACTTCTATTTCTGCATGGATTACAGCATGTTCACCACCCAAATACTAATTACAACCCATCACCCCACACATGTGCCTAATTATCCCTTTTGCCCTCCTCCCTCCCCCCTTCCCCTCTTGTAACAATCAATCCAATCTCTGTCTATGTTTTTGTTTGTTGTTGTTATTGTCTACTAATTAATGAGTGAGATCATACAGTATTTGACCTTCTCCCTCTGACTTATTTCACTTTACATAATACTCTCAATGTCCATCCATGTTGTCACAAATGGCCGGATTTCATGATTTCTTATGGCTGAGTAGTATTCCATAGTATTCCATTCCTCTTTATCTATTCGTCCCTTGATGGGCACTTAGGTTGCTTCCAAGTCTTGGCCATTGTGAATAATGCTGCAGTGAACACGGGGTGCAGGTATCTTTATGCATTGGTGTTTTCAAGTTCTCTGGATAAATACCCAGCAGTGGAATAGCTGGATCATATGGTAGTTCTATCCTTAATTTTTTGAGAAATCTCCGTACTGTTTTCCATAGTGGCTGCACCAGTTTGCACTCCAACCAGCAGTGTATGAGAGTTCCCTTCTCTCCACATCCTCTCCAACACATGTTGTTTCCTGTCTTGTTAGTTATAGCCATTCTGACAAGCGTGAGG